AACTGAACTGCATTGTGCCAGCTGACCCGAAGGGCCGTTTATAATGATTGTACAGCGTCAGATCCACTACGGGCGCGTGCAGTCGGATTGGCGGAAATTAGGGCTGAATGCAGGGCGAGCTTCGAACCTTAAGGGAGTTAGGTGAAAATGCTACACAACTCACTGAACAATTCAAAACAAATTAGCACATCTCGCTACCTCAACACGAATGGACAGAGTACAAGGATTCTACGAAATCTTGGCAGGGCAGAACGGTTGAGCAAAATGTTGCTGCCTACAACTCGACGCCAAGCGTCGGGGCAAATCGAAAGGAATTTTTTTATTTTAAGGAAACCCACATTTTATTGGAGATCTGCTATGGGTGAAAGTTTACATATTCTGAACAATATATTGGCGCCAAGAGTGGAGGTTGGAAAACTTGAATCCCAATGGCACAGGCATCAACGTTACGGACAATGGAGTACAATTTTTGCTAAAAACGGTCCCATGAGCATAAATGTTGGGAATCGCAGTGCACATTACATCCGGCGCTTCCAGGTAGCTATAAGTATATATGGGGTAACATTCGCGACCGGGGACAATGAGATCATTTTTCAACCCAAGTCATATTATTCTCCTTTCCTGGCCAAATTGACTGAACCCGTCATTCACCTCCCTAGCGGCTTGGCTACCGTATGTCCTCGGTCGTCGATATCATGTCCCGTCGAGTTCTTCGAGGGCAAAATGTCACCATCGGATTGAGCGTCTTCCTCTTTATTTTCATGTTTCTGCCGACCTTTCTTGTTCTCCTAGCGGTCATCGCATTCTTCGGGCTGGTGTATCCGCGATTGCGGAAATCATACACCCTTGACCGGGAACAAGAGATGGAGTCTCGGCAGTTGGAGACCAAAGATTAAATAATGATCGGAGCATGGTATGACCATATTCAATGTGCTGGATTATGTTTAATCACTAACGTGTGTTGAGATACCATCTGGGTGTAACATCAAACACCACCGAGTCCACGAAATATTTTGCACTGACGCTTCTTTTTGTCTCGGAGTTATGACGTGCCGCGACCGAGCACATTATTTCCAAGGCGTTGTGGGTTGTATATTAATTGGGGTAAAAGAATTCTGAACTTTTGATGTTATTTCAGTATATGGATTTTCAAGAACTATATGCATAAAGATCTTCATGTACAATATATGTACAATATATGTACAAATATAACGTATCGGCCTTCAATCCGCATTCTAGAAACATATTATTTCTCCATGTCTAGTAAAAATAAATCTAGAATCAATTCATAACGTAAATGGCCAACAAGTTCGGGACTGTTCCGGTATCGAACCTCGGAAGCTCATAAAATCCCCTATTAACCCCAGATGATTGGATGTGTTCATCAATTTACTCCGTACGAAGTACATCATAATAAATTGGCACCTGGGCAGTTCCACAGCTTGACACATCTTAATGGGTAGCGTTGGTACGCTGTTCACGTGAAGCGCCTTTATCAAACTTCCTTTTTCCCCTGGTCATCTCTTCACCTATGAGCGCTCTCGATAAAAATCAATTTCATCTCCTCGACAGTTCAATTCGAGGAAATATAATGGGCTGAACAGATTCATCGTCATCCATGGAAGTTCGATCATCCAGAATACGGAGCAGCACTCCATAAAAAGAACACCCCATCAACATCTGATGGCATCAGATCAACCCATCAGGGTACCAAGCATCTCCCCCGCCTCTATTCTGCTACGCAGCCAGTAAGATGGAGACCAAACAAGAAAAGAAGGTGGCAATCGACCAGCCGCTGCCTGATCGGTTTAGCTTCTTTTCGTCAAAAACGCGACAAGCGACCGCCTCGTCTACCTGGGATGGTCTTTTTCCCAGCGGAAACATCGACCATATCTTCCAGGAGAAGCATAAAAGTCGACCAGATCCCAACGAGCCAATTTGGTGGATTGACATCCGCGACGCCACTGAAGAAGATGTCGACGCTGTCTCGCAAGCCTTGTCCATCCATCCCCTGACGGCAGAGGATGTTGCTATTCGTGAGCCTCGAGAGAAAGTCGACGTCTACAAGAACTACTACCTGATATCGTTCCAGACCCTCGTGGAGAACAAGGTCAACAAGGTCAAAGAGGAGCGACCGGGGATTCCCATCTCGGCTGCATTATACATTCTTGTCTTCCAATATGGCGTGGTCACCTTCTCGCCTGGTGGTTGTGGACATGTCGCTCGGGCGCGAGGGCGGATTTGCAAAATGCATGATCCCACTATATTGACTAGTGACTGGGTCTGCTATGCAATGATGTAAGTTCAATCAAATCTCTGCTTATCAGCCCTCTCTTCCATAGATTTTTGCTAATCAATCTATAGAGACGATATCATCGATAGCTTCGAGCCATTTGTCCGGGACGCAGAGCGCGAGTCCGAAGCAATCGAGGATCAAGTGTTCATCAGTCGCATCGATGACGCCCAAGCTCTTATCCCGCAGGTCGATGTTCTCCGCAAGAAAATCACTCACATAATCCGTTGCCTCAACGGCAAGGTCGACGTGTTGAACGGATTTGTGAAGCGCTGCCAAGCTCCCGATAAGCACCCTGTTTTCCCTGACGGTGATCTGCTTCTATATCTCGGTGATGTTCAGGATCATTTGATCACAACGTTGTCGACTCTTGGGCACATCGATGAGATTATTGGTCGGTCCCAGGCGAATTATCTAGCCCAGATGAGCGCTACAAATCTCCGATTGAGCTTAACTATTAACTCTGGTTTGAGTAAGGTTACTCTCCTGGCTACTATCTTCGTGCCATGTCATCTGGTTACGGGCTTGTGGGGAATGAACGTCTCTGTCCCGGGCGAGGACGATGATGGGCTGGTGTGGTTTTTTGGTATCCTTGGCTCTTTTGCGGCATTCATGGTCATTTGCATCGCTGTGGCTGTGAAATATAAGCTCCTGTAGATGCCGAAGCTGATGGATATCTTTAGCTCAACATAGACTCATGCCGGAGACAATTTATCAAATAATTCCACATCATCGCATCTACAATACCATCCGCGTTTGCCCCAATCAAAGTAATTTATAGAACTTTTTCATCTTACAAAGGTCTCGGGGCCCGAATAGTAAAATTGATGCCCACCAGAATACTGATACCCCACAATCACCATCAATCCTCTGCATCTGACAGGCAAGCGGGGATGAACCGGGCGTCAACAAGTAGAGAAGTCTAGCCGTTCGTGATAGCCACAGGCATATGGCACAGGAGTGATGTGATGCACTGACAATTGAAGCCTGCCGATAAGGTTTCAACGCTATGTCTTTTAGTCGCGCGATCCATTGGCCATGACTTGCAGTGCCATAGTAGTCAGATTCAACGGTGAGCGCTTCTGGCTTCTGAGGCGTGTGTGCTATCAGTGGTAACCTTGCCTATGAGGATGTGTCGAGTGTTGGCCATAACGTAGGTTTGTTTTAGGAATTTCCCACCCACGGGCCGCTTCAAGGTGCTGAAGTGACTGTGCGTGTGGAGACCTGTTAAGAGAAGCATTTCTTGGCGCGAAGCTTAGAGTTTGTGGGGAAGTTAGGGGTCGCTCCAAGTGCGTCGCTGAAGCAGAGTTCGATGGTCTTATGTATGCATGCAGATGCCTAGGCATAGAAATTGTTGGCATACCCCATGCAACGTTGTTCTTGAAAAGATCGGCGTGAAGTTGATAAGCTTGCAATTCCGTAACTGCACTGTGTAGGGAGTATGTAGGCGCTTTTGTTGGGTTTGCATATTGGTCTTATCGGCGTCTTGCATATCCTGTGTACATGTGTGCATGATGTACTCAATCATTTCCCTTTCAACATCCATGGGTCTCGATTTCACCTATCTGGTACTTGATGCTCTAGCCTATTTAGATATTGAGCGTCTGGACTGGCACTGCCGCCTGATCCTCAATTACCCCCAGAAGCGATGAACCTGCCACATTCATCGTGATAATATCTACATTGACGTAGATGGACTCCCCAAGACTGCATTGTATGTCTTGTGTTCCCCAAGTCTCGCGTTCAACAGTTACCTCATTATGATTTCATGGGTACGTGCACGATAATACCACAAAGCAGGCGATCGGTATCAATGAGTCAGATTTGAGGGGACACCTAGGCCATAACATCTAAAGATGGTAGGTGGCAAAAGCTCAACAGCCACAACCACAGCCACAAGTGTGGATATGGAGTGGGACCGAAACTCCACGGCCGAAACACTGAAAGGCGCAGCAGACCTACATCCATGTTTCCAGAGATTGCATGTGTATCCCGTAGGACGGAAATGTATGAAGCCGTTCCCAAAATACATATGACCTCATTCCCAGTGAAGCACGACAGAACACACATACGCACATCGTACATGGACGGAGTACTCCGTGTCCTCGTAGAGTGCCCAGCATCCCACGAGAATAAGCGAAAACAAGGCCTCGTGCCAATAATAATCACACCCAAACATGGCAGCCTAATGGCTGATTGTGAGAATGGTTGACCAATAATGTCGACCGGCTAAGTGATAGACCCTGACTTCCCGCCTCTCACTCTTGGCATCCTTATAGGGAGATTCATGGGGAACGCGTCATTCGTTAGACTGAGTTCCGACACGGTTGCATAGTCCAATATAGGATGGTATTTCAGAATTAGCATCATGCTAGGGATGTAGTGACGAAAGATGAGAGGTTAGGAATGTTGTGTTCATCCAAGGTTGCCCAGGTGCTAAACATTCCTCGGGAAGTTCTTAATCAGGGCCAGTGATCCACCTCTCCAGGGCTGAGACAAAAAAAGGTGGAAAAAGTGTGGCGTTAAGAGAATCATCATGCCAAGACGCCAAGATCTTAAATAAGTCTGGCCCCGTTCTAAGTTCCCCCTTAAGACTGCAAAACTCGTGTGTCAACTGTCCACTTTACTTTTTTTTTTTCTATCATCTACTTGTATTATCATCAAAGGCTTGTTGCCTTCTTTCATCTGTCTTTTTCCCCTGAAATACATGCGTAAGTGGTGCTCAGAGAGGGGTCCAAGCTATAGCTATAGCTTTAGCTACCCCGAGAACTTTAACTTCAGCTCTTGTGTATCTGACTAACAATGTTCCCTTTTACAGACCGGATTCACTCGTGGGCGAAAGCTCACGCGTCTTCTAGCGGCCTGCCAGACCAGACTCCCTCCCAACAGGCCGCCGACCCTGTGGACACCGAAAAACCTCTTCAACATGGAGAAATGAATATCCCAGTGGAGGACCCTACTCCAGGGTCCGTCACAGAACCCAACGCAAAGCCGGGTCTTGTGATCCGTATGCGAAATGGCTCCGGCCGTTTCTACCACCATACCAAGGATGCGATCTGCCACAGCTGGATTAATGTCCTGCTGATCTTTGTGCCGGTCGGTATCGCCTGTGAGGCGGCAGGTCTCAACCCAGCTATCATCTTCGCGATGAATTCAGTGGCCATCATTCCCCTGGCTGGACTACTCAGTCACGCCACGGAGAGTGTCGCCAGTCGTCTTGGTGACACTATCGGAGCCTTGGTCAACGTCACTTTCGGAAATGCAGTCGAATTGATTATCTTCATCATCGCTCTGGTTAAGAACGAGATTCGCATCGTCCAAGCCTCTCTTCTCGGCTCCATTCTCGCCAATCTATTGTTGATTATGGGCATGGCATTCCTCTCTGGCGGCCTGCGCTTCCGAGAACAAATTTACAACAGTACCGTCACTCAAATGAGTGCTTGTCTGCTCAGTTTGAGTGTGATGAGTCTCCTCTTGCCCACTGCTTTCCACGCCTCGTGGTCAGATAGCGGCGATGCCGACCGCGAGACTCTCAAGGTCAGCCGTGGTACCAGTGTCGTTCTTCTGTTGGTGTACATTCTCTACATCATCTTCCAGCTGAGAACACACTCGTATCTCTACGCTAGTATCCCCCAGGCCATCATTGACGAGGAATCCAAACCCGGTGTCTTGGCAGACTTCATGAACAGCTCTTCCGACTCCTCATCTAGCTCCAGTGATGAGTCAGATGACACTACGACTTCATGGACCACCGCCAAGCGGATCAAAAGAGCAATGAAGTATCGCAGACACCGGAAGTCAAGTACAAGCTCAAAAGGGACAACCTCTCGCAATTCCTTCCAGAAGAAGGCTATGGCATCGACTTCCAATGAAAACCAGGCTTCCATTGACGGCAATGAACACGCCATTGAGCTCAGTGATGAAATTCGTTACGATGCCGATGACGACGTTCAATCCTCTTCCGCAGTCCGGTCTCGCGACTTTGGTCTGGCTCTGAGCCGTATGGACAGCAAATCCAGTAAAAAGTCGAAGAAACGTGATCGCAAGATGCGCAAGGCCCAGAAAGCAGAGAAGAAGGCTAAGATCGTGGCACCCGAGGATAGCGGTCCTTCGTCCGATCAACGTCCGGCGCTCAAGGGGTTCCCATCCGCCCCTAACGTCGCTGGACCTGAAGGCGCAGGAGATGATCCCCGGAAACGCCGTTCTCCTTTCGGACCTATTCCGTCACTGCTCTCCAACACTGTTTTCAGCTCCCAGTCACCAGCGGGTTCTCCCCATATCGGAACCTATCCTTCGCACCCAGGAATTTCTCGCAGCAACTCGCTCCCTGCACATATCAGTCGTCCTCCGCCGGCCGGAAACGCAGTGCAGTTCGCGCGTGGTGCTGCTCGTCTGACCGACCCGAATGATGCTGTGGTTCCAGAGACAGCTCCCCAGGCCCCGGAACCCACAATGTCACGTACCGCTTCTGTTGTCATGCTCTTGTTATCCACCGCATTGGTGGCTGTTTGTGCTGAATTTTTGGTTGATGCTATTCCCGAAATGATCAAAAGCTCAAGCGTCAGCGAAGCTTTCATTGGTCTCATTATCCTGCCCATCGTCGGAAATGCAGCTGAGCATGTTACTGCCGTCAGCGTCGCCACTAAGAACAAGATGGATCTATCGATTGGTGTGTCTGTTGGTAGTAGTATTCAAATTGGTAAGATTTCACCCGCTCCTGACTCTACATGTGCACATTCTGACCATTCCAACAGCTATCTTCGTCACACCACTGGTCGTCATCCTGGGCTGGTGTATGGACAAGGACATGTCTCTGTACTTTACGCTCTTTGAGACTGTTTGTCTCTTTGTAACCACCTTCGTTGTCAACTTCCTCGTCTTGGACGGACGAAGCAATTATCTAGAGGGTGTTCTCTTAATCGCAGCCTATATCATCATTGCGTGAGTTTGTTCCTGTCTTTGATGTCCCTTCAATGTGCTAACCACTCCCTCAGCCTATCTGCCTACTTCTACCCGCCCCATGGGGAATCAAGCGTTATCGCTGGCTCAGGGGGGTAGTCCTAAACCCGTGGTGATGGGATATTGAGCGTGGATTGTTTTCACAGTCAAAAGGCCGATTGGTCTAGTTTGATTGCTAGCTAGAGCGCCATGCATGGCCGCTCGACTATAATACCACGATTCTTTGCCTTGAATAGTCTATTATGGCTACTCTAGTAGGCAATTCTGTAACACTGCACGTAGTATGACCAGAGATTATACAGACGATATCTCTTTTCCAAAGATCTTTCTCCTACGGCGGATTGCTGGTCGGTATATCTGGGAACTTAATACGCGTCTAACTCTAGCAACGCTCATTGAGAGAAACACGGGGGAATGCCCCGTGTGGCCGATCATCGTAGTCCGGTCCCCGGATGACCCCGCGCGGGCTAGGTCCAGGCCGCTCTTGTTCCACACAGTATTTCAGCGAAGGTCCGAGGTCGGACGCCGGCGCGTACATCGTATGTATACGCCGGACGCATGACTCGAGACGTGGAAACAGCACTCGACAAGAGGCATCAATTTGGAATTCTATAGATAGGGAGATTGATGAGTGAAGATGGAAAAGATCTATGATTCTAAATAAATTCAAAAAAATGACTCAAAAAGTCAAAGAGAAGCCGTTGCGGTTACTACTTGATAGATCGTTCTTCTCTGGTTGCCTCAGGGACCCAAAGTCTTGGCGTGAAGAGATCAACATTCCTGTTCTCCGTACGGAGTATAGGGTCACACGCGCTTCATACTATACATAGATGGTAGATAGCACTCTTGCTACATGCATTAGCTGCTGATTTGATGAATATCTATGAAACCAATTACGACTTTGACGGAGCACACCACTCCTCGTAAATAAATGTGCCAAGCCCTAATCCCAATATCCACCAGCCACGTGTGTGACAGTCAGTGGCTGTGTTTTCCATAATTCGGTTACCTGAGCCACATCGTGGCTCGGCGGTAGCATGATAGGTCGAATTATCCCGCAGCCCATTGATACCCCCCATAACCCTCCACCTGCACACAATTAGCTATCCCCCTATTTTTTTTATTTGTACGTCGTTACTAATAGAGCCCCTTTTATACCAATTGTTTGGCCAAACCATGGAAACAAGTAGTCAAGCTCCTGGGTGGAGCAAAAAGTCACCCCTGATCTGGCTATAATATAACATCTACTCCGTACTCCGTACTCCGTATGGTATATGGCTTATTGTGATACACTAACATTGAACAGGGGCACTTGGCATGCCGAAATCGAATTGGTCACTTGTCTAACTAGCCCTGCAAGGCGATGGGATTGTCAATCTGACCACCCTACCCCTCCAGGGGCTCGTGGAGCATTTTATATTGCATCTGCCTAATCGGAACGCAAACTTGGGCGCTAACATGTAACTCCTTAGAAGTGGGGGTATAATCTAGTGTTGGACAAATATTGTGTGGAGTTGTCTATTTCGGTTCTTGTCGGAAGGTGATGGTTTACAACGGTGTTCTTTACGCTTCTTTCCCATAAAAGCCCTCTTCCTCCCCCCTCCTTCTCGGTTTCCATTCATTCTCTCTCCCCTTCTTCACCTCTCTACACACTCATCATGTCCTACGCTCCTCCTTACGGCGATCCTTACGCCCGCCCTCCCTCAGACCGTCCACCATACGACCCCTACGGACGCCCACCTGCTGATCCTTATGCGCGTCCCCCTCCCGCAGATGGATATGACCGTCCAGCATACGACCGTGGCCCATACAGTGCACCCCCACCTCAATCTCGTCCCCCTCCAGGCCCCCCGCCTCCTCTGCCTTACGGCTGGTCCCAGGAATGGGAGCCCAGTGCCCGTCGCGCATTCTACGTAGAACACGCCTCTGGTCGGTCCCAGTGGGAGACGCCTTACCAGGACCCCGGCCACTCTGGATACAACGATGGCTCTCGCAGCGTTCCTCCTCCCGAGTCCCAGGGCTACTATGCGCCTCCCCCAGGCGGCCCACCCCAGGGTTATGATGATCGTAGCCCCAGCTACTATCAGGGCGAGCAGCAGCCTGAGAAGAAGAGCAGCAATGCTGGCGGCTACCTCGCAGCTGGTGCTGCCGGTTTGGCCGTTGGTGGTATTGCCGGTGCTTTGATTGCCAATGAGATGAGTATGTGACCTCTTTTGCTTCGATTGAACTGCTTTATTTTTGCATATACTAACTATTCTTTCAGACGAGGATGATGAGAAGTCAGACCTCGAAGAGGCTTACGAGCAGGGCCGTCAAGATGAAGAAGAGGCTCACGACTCAGATCACAGTGATCACAGTGAGCACAGCGATGGTGGTTGGTAATTGTCTTCACCCACTGTTGCTTGAAGGTCTCTCGTCTCTCGGTTGTTCTTCAATATTCCCATTCTTCTTTGTTAGGGTTGATGGTTGCGTTTTGCGAAGGTTTTACATCATTACATTTGCTATTCCTTAACATTGCATCGATATATTTCTTCACTATCATTTTTAAATGCCGAACCAGCTTGAAAGACACCACCCGTTCCATTCTACTTCCAACATAATATCTGCCCATGCAACAAACCAAACCAGGCATCGTCGTCTTCCACAAACTGCCTCCACCCCTTTGCAATAACTTCCAAATCCTCCGGCTCTGCAAAGCCCTCCTCAACAACATTCTTTGCAAACCCAGAAGATCTAGCCCTCTCTTCCATAGATCCACCCCAATATGCCCTCTCCTCATCACTCCCAAAGCACCAAGCCCCCGCACTCCTCTTCACACTCCGACTGTCAAACCCAGCCTCCCGTGCCCAAACATGAATCATTCTCCCAGGATGCGGATTACCACCTTTAGCACGTTGCATGCGCTCCGTAACCTCACGCCACTTAGCGATGCCCGCGGACTCGGGATACCAGGTCAACTCCGCCGACTCACGGCACGCAACAATGCCCCCGTCCTTAGCAACTCGCCGCATTTCCTTTAGCGCATGAACCGGATTGGTAATGTGTTGCAGAACCTGGTGAGCATGCACCATATCGAATGTATTGTCCTCGAATGGCAGCGCGTGAATGTTCCCATCTTGAAAGGTAATGTTCGACACGCCTTCAGCTTGCGCAAGGGCACGCGCGCCTTCTAATGGATCAGGCACGTATTCCACACCTGTAACATGTCCTGATGGGACATGCTTTGCTAGGGAAATCGTGATAGAGCCAGGTCCGCAGCCGACATCCAGGATTTTCAGGTCTGGCTTTAGATGTGGGAGGAGGTATGGCGCGGAGTTGGAGACTGTACGCCAGCTGTGTGTGCGGAGCACTGAGGTTGAGTGGTCTGTTGTGTAGACTTGAGACATAATGAATAAATTGTGATTGAAGTTGTAATTGTTTTCGTTCAAAGTGTGGTTTTGAGTTGGATCGGTGGGGATTTTATAGTTGCGGGGGATCTGGACCTGCTTCGGAATTCCGTAATGATCATCGATGTAGGGCTATTCCAAGGTTCAGGTGGCAACACCTTTTACGGTTAATTCAACGTCGCCAACTTAGGACATCCAATTGTTTTTTCTTAGCTTCTAGGGGCATGTGGAGTTTAATACAGTGAACTCTAAGAGCTTGAACATGAAGCCAAAAAGTACCAGGTACCTGGGACAAAGAGTTAGAGACTTCAAAACTGGCCTTAATGGAACATAGTTTGGTATATACAGTTTGACAGACGGAAAACAATCTATATTTTTCTAGACAAACAACATTTCTATTCAAAAGAAATGTGCAAACTGCGAACGTTACCTACTTCAGGTGATGACTTCATGGCTTGGCATTTGCGGAACTCCGAAAATCTTCACGGAATTCCGAACCCTCCTCATCTACTTCTTCAACATGGAAGAATTTTCAGGTAGATCTGGGCCATCAACCCCCACTTTATCTCGACTCCCCCGCACTTCGCGAAAAAAGTCATGTCGAAATTGTGTAGCAGCCAAAACTGCGTGTGATCTCAGAAAGCCGAAATGTAAGCGATGCAAAGATCGAGGCATAAGTTGTGAATATCCAGCACTCGTCGAATCAACAAGTGGTAATGCAGAGAATCAATACGCCACTGTCGATGCCAGCCCTTTCAGCAATGTTCCTGATGCACCGTCTCTGGATTCCACATGGCCAGGGGGCCTGGTCAAAAACACCGCAGACGTATCTCATACCTCGAATAACTCTACCATCGCCGATAGTGGACCAGTTCATTCCGATTCCACTAATGTACTGAACTTTCAACAAATTGATCTAGTGCCTATGGTAGATGCGGAGGAAATTCGCGATCGCTGGCTACGCCCCTACATCTCAAGCTCGACGGGCCAAGAGCCCAAGCAGTTGAATGCTCACACCATACAGTATCTCATCTGTATGTTGAAATCGTATATAAGGAATCATCTCAACTCAATTGCACCGCCTTTTATTCATGCTCAACAGCAGGCGGGGACTTGCCCGCCTGTCTTGGCTTACTGTTTCACCTTGGTTCGGACGTGGTTGACTCGGATTCCTGGATCTGAACCCTTGATTATAGGGGCGATGCGAGTAGAGATGAAGAAAATTGAAGATCAGGTATGTTGGTATTTTTATAGTTGTCACATGTCAGCCTAATATCAGACAGGGTGTGCTTCAAAGCGACTTTGACAACCTGTGCTCGTTCCAGGCGTATCTCATCTACTCCATGACGATGCATTTATTTCCTAGTACAGAAATTGTCGATGAACCCCAGCCCTTCGATACTCAAACGCAGATAAAAATGCAAGAAATCGCTTTCCGATCCGCCAAGTCAGGTCTCATCTGCAGAGCAGAAGAATCCCAGACCCGGCCGAACTGGGAGTCATGGATAGTCGCGTCGGCCAAGCGTCGTACTATTTTCACCATGTATCTCTTCACCAACATCTACAATACCCAACTCGGGCTGCCGAACTTTGTTGCGGAAGAATTGAGAGGCACTATGGCCCCGGAAAGCAGAATCCTCTGGGAAGCTTCAGACCGCGCCTTTTGGGAAAGAGAATACAATCGGCACTTGTCTCGCTGGGAGGATGGCATGCTCGAGATATCAGAACTGTGGAAGTCTGATGAAACTGGAACAGAGGTCCGACGGGAGAAGATTGAGCGGTGGTTACAATCTGCTGATGGGTTTGGGTTGATGCTTTTTTCTGTTTGTGCGCATATCCATGGATGCTAGACGCAGATTTTTCCGGATCCGATTTGAGAAGCAAATACAGAACAAGGATACTAGATACTAGGAGACAGTCATATAAATGAGGAACTTTGCGCTTTCTTGATTGAATTGCTCTGTGTGATACATCTCATACTCGAACTATATGTACTCGGAAGTGATAGCCGATAGCCCATCACCTTTAATGCCCTTTAATGCCCCTTGGCCATCTGCTCAGCCCAAGAATCCAGAACAGCCTTGATTGGCTTCTTGGATGTCATGCGCTCGAACCAATCCTTCTCATTCGGGAACTCATCAAAATCGAAGCCATCTTCAACGAATGCCGTGCGTGCAGTCTTCTGCCAAGAGATGAACGCTACATCAGCGTACGACATCTTGTTGCCGACCAGCCAGGGACCATCCCCAACATCCTTGTTGGCCTCCTTCTGTTTGGCCAGCCACAAGTCAAGCACGCCCGTGACGCGTTTCCCTTCGTTGATGTACCGTTCCACTGCACTAGGAATCTTCTCCGAATGCATATTTTTGAACCAAAAGGCTTGTCCGTAGTACGGACCCTGGCCAGAGACCTGGAGATAGAGGAACGAGCGTGCAAGCTCGGCTTCTGCGCTGCCAGGTGTAAAGCTGAGCTTGCGGGGCTCCTTGGTGTCGTAACGCTCTATGAGGTACTCGACGATGGCACCACTCTCCCAAAGAGTCAGGTTGGTGTTTGGGTCATGGATCGAAGGGAGGCGCCCGTTTGGATTGATCGCTGTATACTCGGGCTCCTTGACTTTTGAGAAGGGGACTGAAACGGACTCGAATGGTAGTTCGAGTAGTGTGAGGATGAGTCCGACTTTGAGGGGATTGGGGCCAAGAATGCCACCGTAGAGCTGAATGGGTTTGATTGTAGATGACATTGTTGGAGTTTAGCTATGATGGAAGCTGGAATAGTAATTGTTATATCATGTTCGCAGCGATGGGTATCGGCTTTTATAAGTCCGATACCATCTCTGCAAGGGACGGACTCGAGGCATACTACTATGGTACATAGCTTGAAAGACATGACCCCGCTAACTTTATATAGTTAGCGTTGACCGATCTAGCCCATATATGGTTAGCTCCAAGGTTATGTCTTTGATCTTCGGACTCTGTAATTCCGATTATCAATCACTGTATACATACCGTGAACACGCTGTCAGATTTGTAACATTTCGTCCTTTGAGTTGGTCCGTTCTTTGTCCGAATGTCCCTGAGACCAATAATAATCAAGCACGGGCCTCACAATTATTAATCTTCGGGCTTTGGCTTCGGGTGAATTTTTAGCGCTTCGGGGTTTTGGTTATTCCACTAGACGTTACCAGTGGACCTTCCCGACGGGAGATCCCGAGATCCCTGGTTAGGTCTAAAAGTTTGAAGTCAAAAGTTGATCTTTCATTGTATCATCCTTACCTATTGACCGTCTTTTTCACCGGAGTTGCAATCTGCATATGCTTAAGCGATCTCACTGGCTAGTCCCAAAAATGTCATACCCAAGTTAGGGAAGCATCTTGTGAAATCATTCTTGAGCGAGAATACAAAGTACTATGATGAACTTGATTTTGTAGGCTACGACCATATCCCCATTCCCGGTGGCCTTTTCTCCAGACCACTCAGGAGATGTTTCATTCTTAATTATGGAGGTTATTTGACAGCCCATTACGGATGAAACATCTGGGCTATGTGAGATGACCGTTGTTTGCAATCAGAATATGTCATATGCGACCTATAAGAACACGCATCCAAAAAGTAAAATGCGATCCCATCGGAAGCGAAGATCACATTTAGGGTACTTTGGGTATGTCTCCGATGTCTCCTTCTACCAGTTGAAATGTATAGTCGTTGTCGCAGTGAACGGGGGGCGAAGAGAGGGAAGTTACTATCCAAACCGGTAACGGTTTTCCTATTCGCGGTTTCCGTAATTGTCTTTATGTTTCCTTCGTGGTCAAGGGGGTACACACCGCCGAGACTATGACCCCGCACTTGTGTCAGGGTCCTATACAGTACGTACAGTACCTTCCACACTGTTCGTAGTTTTCTCCTTGTCCATGTTCACCACACTCACTCTCCACTACACCTAGCTGTATAGCACCGGATGCTGATCTTCTATTGTCTGATCGAACGTTAGCTTTCAATCAAATCTACAAGTCTTGTCGACTCTTGCGAAGAGCTAATGTGCACTCGCTGGGTCGACAACAAACGCATCCAAAACAGGAATTTTGATGTTTACGCAAGGTATACCTTCCCCCGTTTGTTCACATATTTTCCTACCACACTTGGGTATCAAACCCCGACAACGACAAGTTCCCACATTCTCGCAAATGTGCGGGTGTCGATTGTTGTTTGCCTCTAGATACCAAAAGCAATGGAGACCGATACAGTATGTTGACAGTTTTATTCGTCTGTCTTCGTTCTAAGGATGTCTCCTACATTCAACTACCTACATAGATTTCGAATACACAAGTCAATATATATGTTCTCAAGTGCAAATATCAGATCAATTTCAATTTCATCGTCTAGGTACATGCCACAAAGTTGTTACCACTAGCACCAGTGTGAGTAATAACACCAGCTAGCTTGTTGCTACCGTTGAAGACAACACGGTCCGCACCAGGAGAGCTACCAGTATAAACCTTGCCACTGCTGAGAATGGGGAATTCGTAGTAAGTTCCGGAAACGGGGAAGTCGAAATCCTCGTAGTTGTGGTATTCGTGGGGGTAGTCGTTGACATCGTCATTCGCGGCTTGGAGCTTGTAGCCCGCTGCCTGGGCGGCGCTGATGGCACTGCTGGTATAGCAGACTGTACCGCAAGTCGCAGCACACGCGCGAGCTTCTACCTCTACCGGGGCGGCGAGGGCACTGGATATGAAGATGGTGGCCAGGGCCAGGAGCTATGAGTTGTGTTAGTGGTTGATGATGTTGACTTGGAAGAACGTATTACCTTGGTGTACTGCATTGTGGCGGTATAGTTGCCTGGAAGTTTTCAGTCTTTGGTTATTTCTTGACTTGGAGACCTCAATATTTCTGGGAAATATGATCGTTTAAATATACCTTGCCGGAGGTCTCCGAAGAGAATATACTCGGTATCAACGCGATGTTACATTCTGTGCATCCAGCCGTCTTGGTCTTTCATTGGCAATGGTATGCTGCAAGATCAAATGATCAATTAACGACCACCATACCCGAATGAGGGACATTCACCGAGCGGCAGCCCTGAAGTATAGTAGTCAAAGCGAGGTACAAGACAGTCCCGATTGGTTGATTGGGGACGTGAAGAATCGAGTGGTGCTACGACTCCGGATTCCTGGAGATGCGCCCTATCCGAGAAGGTGATCGACGGGGGCCTTTCTGGAAGGGGCGTTTTTAGGCTGCGCCTGCGTTGAGCAGGGTCTCTCTCTATCGGACCAATCAAATAGTCAATCGTCGGGCACGATGTCGATGGTCCATTACTCAGCGGGAGATGTCCACGGGTGGGGTTAGACATCTTTATGTCGGCATTTGAAATCCGAATGAGTAAACAGTCACTCCTGAAGATGTTGCGTTCATCTAACTGTTATCCAAACCCAACATCTTTGCTTGTCAAGATAAGAGATTTTCCTCGATTGTGCTTCGCATATATTAGTTTCCCCTCATCCCCGCGCTCCGACGGTCTCCGTGCTGATCTCTTGAAGTATCATATCTGACCCGCTGCGTGATGATTAGATCGCATGTTTTGTTTCTTAGTTGTCTGTTGTCACTCGCACAATGCCATATTCGGGAGTTTCTCTTTAGACGCTAAATTAAGTTCAATAGTGTCACATGCTAGTCTGGGTACTTGAGACGGCTGCATATAACCGAAAGGTAGGTTCATATTGTATATGAATGGGTATGATATAAGACGAAGGGTGACTGATCTACCCTATAACAACGGAATAAATGCGAGACCACCACTTGGGGGCCTTCTTGGGTGACTCGGGCTCTTCGGACTCGACATGCTCCCTTCGCCCGGTCCAGATGTCCATATCCTCCAGTCGGACGACACGGGTTTTATTCCAGAACTTGTACACAATCACAAACAACACGAACACAGGGATCAGGATATAGTTGATCACAAAATCAGTCGAGCTAAAGGGGTTGAGGAAGCAAGTGTATCCCTGGAAGAAAATGAGGAACACATTTGCTGCCAGTGAGAGGTAGGTGCCATATGGGTAGAAGAGAGCTTGGAATGGGAGCTTTGACGGATCTTGGCCTTGCGCGACCAGGGCTTGTCGGAATCGAATATGCGCAACTCCGATTACCGACCAAACAATAAAGGTGGCAACTGTAGTTCGTTAGCATGAAACAACGGTGTTTTCGAGAAGAGTCTGGGAAGAGAAACATACCACCTGAAAGAGTGATCAATGCCGAGTAAACCCTCCCAGCACTAGAGGACTGCTCCAAAAATACAATGCATGCGAAGACGTTGGTTAATACCAAGCCCACCCATGGGACTCCGAGACGATTTGTCCGGCCAATAAATCTTGGGGCTTTTCCACTGCGAGACAGGAAAAGCAATGTTCTAGATGCCACATAAAGCGAGCTATTTCCTGCGGAAATAACACTGATCACGATGAGGGCATTAATGAGGTGGGCGGCTGGGAGGATCCCAGCATCCTCTAATGAGATCGTCAAGGGAGAGCTGGCTGTCTTGGACGACGTGCCCAACAATCTCTTGTCATTATATGGGATGAGTATTCCAATGAAGAAGATGGTGCCTGGATATAATTTAGTAAAGCTTCGGTCTTCTGTTTTAATGTGAACTTACCAACGTAGAAAATCAAGATTCGCCAAAAGACCTGCTTGATAGCCTTGGGCACTGCTTTTGCGGGATTCGCCGATTCTCCGGCGGTAATACCAACCCTAATTTGACTGTCAGCTTTCGCCAATCCCAGCCACTTTCAATATTGGGGAACATACATCTCAGTTCCGGCATACAATGTTCCTGCAACAACAAAGGTTTTTGCAACACCATTGATTGAATCTGCAAACGCCCCGGGGGCATGCCAATATTCAAATCCAATAGCACGCGGTCCAATGCCACCTGCGCTGATGCAAATTGCGAGAATGAAAAAGACGATTAACGCCAACACTTTGATACTGTAGTTGATTAGCCAACTTGATGCCTCAAATCCAAGCATATAAAGACCTACAGAGATAGCCAAAATTCCATCTCGCCATAGGCCAGAATTCCCAGATTTGAAAGGGTAAGGAACATCACCCAGAAAATTAAGATCCAGCCCCATTGAGGAACAACATCTGTCCAGTACCCAATGACTAGGGATATCGCATTGTATTCATTTGCGAGAACCTAGAGTGTCGAATTAGCAAGGGATCCTTCATAATACTGGAATACTCAATGTATGTCGTACAGTCACCCATAAGTACCAATACGCCCATCCCAGCGCAAACGCCAGAGAGTCGTCAATAAAGCGCTCGGCATACTCGGTAAATGATCCAGTCACAGGGAGCAGCGTAGCCATCTCACCCAGCGATTGCCTATTACCGTTAGAATCATTCTTCAAACTAGAGAATGCACTCCTTACATGACGAAGAAGACGATGATGCCGACCAGTGAGAAACTAATCAAAGCTCCTGCGGGTCCACCCTCGTGCAGGGCATTGCCGGAGCTCACCAACAGACCAGGACCGATAATGCCTGGAGATAGGGAGTACTTTGGTCAGCATCAACCATATAAACACAATGCGACCGCAGACTTACCTCCAATAGCAATCATCTGCAGATGTCGAGACTTGAGCTGGCGTTTTAATGGGGCAGACAAAGGATCTCTTGCAATCTCTTCATCCGATCGGATGCTTTTTGCGCCATCCTGAACGGGTCCCCTGTATGTCACGGTGAAATCCGTTTTGTCCGTCATATCGAGAAATACTTCAGACGAAATGTCTCAAATCAGTTTAAGAGAAGTTATTTTTTTTTTCCCACAGAAACGTGGACAATGTCGCTTGGAGCCAAAGATAAGGAATTTGGGCCCTCATTTGCTGCGGATGTCGTGATAAGCCCTGGGTGAGGCGTCATGGATCCATGGATAATCCTGTGGGGCTCAAAGGTCCTTAGTTTTTATTTCTACGAACTTGACTATATTGTGCTCCGTACACTATATTTATATACTATTATACTATTCATATAGTAACTTTGAGCTTAGAACAGAAATGGCATTTCATCAGATTTTATTTGGTGTACACAGTCTCGCAGGCTATTATCATCTTGGCCCTTCTGGGAACTCGAGAAAGGGGAATTTAACAATACTCAAGATTTGAAACAATGACAGAAATAATTACTGAAATATTTCCTAGGACTAGCCTTGAGATTGAATTATGGAGGTTCATCATACGCGTCTATTCATCGTTGGCAGCAAATCAATGTGGAAGAATAGGATATATCAGTCACACAAGACCGAACTTTCAAACCAACTATAAGTATTCAGTAGGAGAATTCAAAGGCAAAAAAACATCACAGCAATGGTAATGGCAACTCAAATAGTGGCTCAGACCCCCCAAGTTTTCTTCACTGAAGTTCAAAGTAACAAGTTTTTCATCATCGCCACTAAGAAAGTTGCCTCCTAAAGCAAAATAGGAGACATGTTGACAACATAAAAAAGATCGAAATTCCAGCAAAGACCGGTAAGCGCAAGACACAAAGGCAAAATGCTCAAGAAGTACCTCAGACAAGAGAAGCTTGGTCATCAAAGGTTTTCAGAAGCTCTCTTTTTGCATCATTGGCACCACGCAAATTACCTTTGGGGGTCTCACATATCCTGGGAAAGCTAGCAACACGCGGAAAGCTCAAGTACAAAAGTCAGCAAAGACTAGTAAGCGCAAGAGAAAAGGGCAAAGCGCTCAAAAGGCGCCTCAGACTCGTCCTGGATTGTCATCAAAGATGTTCAGCAGAGCTCTCGTTTCATCATTGGCACCGCGCAAATTGCTGTTAGGGGTCTGAGATATCCTGGCAAAAATTCTCCATATGAGGAAAGTTTAACTATACAAGTCAGCGATAGAAGCATTGAGCAGAGTAGCAACACTGGCATGTGAAATGGGAAGGTAAAGTGCTTAAATGATGCCTCAGACAAGTGTAGCTTGGTCGTCAAAGATGTTCAGTCAGCTCTCTTTTTCCATCATTGGCACCCGGCAAATCACCAATAGGGTAGGGGTCGACAAGGTGAGAAGGCAAACATCAGGAACTAGCGAAGGTCATCAGTATTCAGAGAAATCCATGCGAAGAATAATCCACAAAGGCAGGATTGTTCGATGGGGCATCAAATATGCCCAGTGACTTCCTATGTTTTTATCATTGGCATCAGGAAAATCACCAATAGATAATAACAAGACAGGGAAAAAGTTGACAAATTGGAAAATCATGGCAACAAGGTAATGACAACTTACTTGATCAAGATGCAAATAGAGCACCGAAGGGCCCATGGGATTGACAGAATCAGATCCAAAGACTGCGCATAGGAACCTCGAACGCGAATAAATCAAATAGAGGCTTTGAATGTAGGCTCAGATATGGATTGGCCTTGTTTGGAACTGTCCTTTTTCCGACCACGCGAGCACGAGCTGAGGTTCAGGTATAAACGTTTGTATCATTGCCAAATCGAAAGCCCAGTGGAGGAGCGGGACGCCGAATGTGAGGAGCCGGGCTAGAAAGATGTAATGATATTAGCAAAATGTAGTCCAGCAATATGACATGGGGTTCGGATAGAGAAGTTTCTAAATGGATGCTCAGACATAGGGCTTGTTTTCTTCAGACCTCGAGCTTTTTTTTTTTTGCCACAGGAACAGAGAAAAGAACAGATACTACACCAGCCGAGGTCAAGAGGTGTAACCCTTTTCATCATCGCCGAATCGACAGTCACAAGCAAAGGAAGTAGACTTACTTGCAATTTCACTAGCAAATGCCAGTTTAGAGATGAGCAGGCATACC